AAGTGCCTTCAGGCAAAAAGAAGAGTTATATAAGTAAATCCAGTGAAGTAGGGTCAGAATGAGGAAGTAGTAGCCTTCTTTTGAACAGCTTGCCTAAAAGAAAGAGGAAGTTGTATCTAGAGAGAATTATTTGTTAAAGGCAGGATTATTTCATTATTTCATTTTCAAGATGGATTTATATGCTGAAAAGAAACCCCTGAAAAGGACAAGCTTTTGAAAAATAGGGCAAGAGAAGGAATGTCCTCACTGAAAAAGTCCCAAGAAAGTCTAGGAATAGGTTGGTGGTTTCATTTCATGTATTCACAAATCCTTTGTTAAATTCCCTCCTTAATAGGTGGAGCCATTCTCTCTTCTTTTATGAGCTATACTAGTGACTTTCTTCTCATAGAATGTGGTAGAAATGATAGAGAATGACTTCCAAGTAGTGGTTCAAAAACATATTGTGTCTTCCATCTTGCTCTCTGACTTACTTATGAAGCCTGCTGTCATGTTGTTACAACACTCAAGCTGGAGTCTCACGGGAGAGAAGACCGTGTGGCGAGGAAGTAAAGGGCTCATAAATAGTCAGAGAGGAACTACTTTGCTTTTCAAGAGTATGAGTGAGCCAGAAGCAGCCCCACCAAGCCTTCTCTCACATTGGTTAAAGCCCCATCCAACAACATGAGTCTGGAGACAGAACTACCCAACCACAATTGGAATCTCTCCTTGTCCCACAGAAATTGTAAGATAATACATGTTTCATTGTCTTAAGCCATCATTACCTTGGGGGTAATTTGTTATAATGCACAATACAGATAAATTCAATACCATAGACAAAGATGAGAATACTTGCAGTAAAGCAGTGAGAGATGGGAGAATGGGGTAAAGGTCGTTCAATAAGAATATTTGAATTTTAAAATTTTAAAGAATTACAACTTTTATTTATTCATAACTGACCATTTCAAAAGTCTTGACAGAATATTCCTCCATAAATCATATTATTAATACGACATTCTGAATTATATAACATTATCTAGTGTTGCCCAATGCTTTCTACAATTATCTGCTCTTTTTAAACAATGAAAGACACTTGGCTACTAAAGAAAATATTAAAGAAAATTTTCCTTTAAAAAATCTTGCTTAAAAAAGTCATTTTGCAGACAACTTACCTTGTAACTAATGCTGTTCCTTCATAACTCATCTTCCTGCAAGAACTGCCCACAGTGAGCTTGCTAATTTTTTTCCACCTTCCTAACTTAGAAATCAGATGAAATTTACCTCAAAAGAAATTATACTTGAGAAATTCATTTGGATTTTCTTTCAATCAGCAAATATCTGTTGTTGAGTACCCACGTTAGATTAGCATAAAAGTAGGCACCTCTGAGCATTGATAAAGACAAAATAATATTCCTACTCAAATACACCAATTGGCTTTTTTAATGTTTATTATTTATTTTTGAGAGAGAGAGAGAGAGGCAGAGAGAGAGGGAGAGACAAAGAACCCCAAGCAGGTTCTGCACTGTCAGCACAGAGCTCTATATGAAAACTCCCAACTCACTCCAATTACAAGATCATGACCTAAGCCAAACGAGTCTCAATTTTAACCCATCAACCACCCAGGGCACCTGAATTGAAACTCCTACTTTCAAGGAACAAACAAATCTATTGAAACAAGCCTGAAAACAAAATTAGAAAATCTGAACAAGTGGTGGTGTAATAGAAATATGTGTACATTTAGATGCTATTATGATAGATTAGAGGGACAAGAAAACCACTGATATGGCCAAGGGGGGCCGAGAAAATGTCATGAAAAGTTTCTTAATTCAGCAGGGTTTTGGTTGTTATGGTTGTCATTGTTGTTGTTTGCAAGACACCAAAAAGCTGGTAAAGGAAGTAGAGGACAGGAACCAGGACAGTTGTGGTGTTAAACAATAAACTGAGGCATAACAAAATTTTAAGAGTTTATTTGAGTTAAAATCTATTCTAATTGGGCAGCACTTGTCCAAAAGTGGTTAAGAGTATTTCACCAACAGAAGCTCAGGGAAAGACTTTTATAAGGAAAAGGTAGAAGCAAAGTACGGAAATTATTGATTGAGCCCAAGGTCTAGTTGGCTGTTTATGACTGGTTACAAGCTTCTAGTTTCAATTTCAAAACTTTAAAGTGTTTACAGACAGATTTTGGTTTGTCTAGGCCAGCCAAAGCGTATATAATAGTAAATATCTCTGTTTAATGGTCTTGTTGTGCCAATTTAATTGATAATTCCAAATTTCAAAATACTTGTTTATATGATTTTACACTGCAGGCACTAGGTAGACAACAAAAAGGAGTAGGCTACTTGGTTGTTGTCCTCAAAAAGTTCACAATATACAGGCAAAAGTAAAAAAACTGAGTCAACTTTAAAGGACATAAGCAAACTATCTAAGAGATGTCAAGGGGATACATCAACTGTACAAATAACTAATAATCAAAAGCTGAGAAAAGATCAGTGTGGTTTTGAATAATCATGAAATCTAGTAATACATATAATACAATATAATTGGCACAGTGAAATTAGAAACTTCCAAATCAAAAAAATATATTTTCGCGAAAGAATCATCGTGGTTATCTAATCAATTTGTTGAAAAAATTTATTTTGTTTGAATTTACTTTTTAATAAGGCTTTTCAAGAATTGGCTTCTAATACAATTCATTAAAAATATATCTAAGCTGCATAAGATGGTTTTTGAAAACATTTCTCTGGAAAAGTTCCCCCATACAGATGACTTGAAACATTTAACACTCAGCACCTGTGGTTATTCTTTTAATTCAACCACATACCCATTCTTACCAAAGTCAATTTCTTTATACTAATAATATTTGCAGCTCTTGCTGTAGTTTTATTGGGCTGTGGATTCATATCAGGGCAGAAGGTCATATATTTTAGTCATATTTTATTTGCAATACATTTACATAATCAGTATTTGTTACTTAACTAATTCAGTAACCATCTCCTAATTTAAAAAAAAAAAGACTGGCATCTTTTTTTGTCATTCCATCATCCGATAGCTTTTCTTCATCAATATTTCTCTTTGACCTTGGGGGGGGGGGGGGGGGGGGGGGGGGGGGGGGGGGGGGGGGGGGGGGGGGGGGGGGGGGGGGGGGGGGGGGGGGGGGGGGGTCATACAAATACAAGCCAAACAAGGTTGCCTCATCTAACCACCAGCAGCATCTAATTTTCCCATACATTTTCAATGTAATAATACTTTGAATTCAACTGTCATTATTCTCTTCATGAACTAACTCCAAAATTATATGATCACTTTAATGTATTGCTTTTACAGAGAATATGCAGCAAGGGGAGAAAGCTCAAAAGAGGAAAACTGTAAAGATGACAAAGGAAATACTCAGGCCATTGTTTACTTTTACCCAGGTCTGTTCGCTAAAAGTTATTTACTGCCTAGCACAGAACATCCACATACTAAACAACTGTTGCATACAATGAATGAACCATCACCAAAGAGATTAACCAAATTAATCTAAACCAGAAAAAATGAAGGATTCAGAAATTTTCAATCCATTCCATATTTGAAAAATTTTTATTTAGATCGCCGATATTTTTAAAGTTTGTTTGTTTATTTATTTATTTATTTTATTTATTTATTTATTTATTTATTTTGAGAGAGGGAAAGGAGGGCAGAGAGAGAGAGAGAGAGAAAAAGGGAGAAAGAGAGAATCCTAAGAGACCTGAACCAATATCGAGTCAGCCGTTAACCAACTGAACCACTAGGTACCCTTCTGCTGATATTTCTTTATCCTAAAATACCCAATACACGACTTTCTTTCTGGACAAGTGCTAAAAATTATTCTTAAGCTTCCTATGACCTAAGCAGAGACGCATAATTGGGACAAATCTAGGGGTCAGCTCTTTTGCACATTTCATGCCAATAAACCTTTGGCCTTAATATTTGTCTGTCAAGCAAATTGCTTGAATTAGCATACCCAGAATAAAGCATAAATATGTACCAGCATATATAAAAAAATAAATAAACGTTAAAAAAATTTAAAAAAATAAATAAATAAACATTTAAAAATTTTTTTTAAAAAATGGGTAGAATTCAGTAAATATAAGACAGAGGTGAGAGCATTCCACGAAAGGAAAGATAAGTAAGGATGTTAATGATGGACAGAGGAGATTCATGAGACTGATTTGAGCACAGATACAAGTTAGGGAGCTGTGGGGAAAAAAGACTAAATGGATTTTATGGCACCAGGGTTCAGACAGTTTATAAAGCCAGGCAGAAGACTTCATATTTTATGTGACACAAAACAAATTACCAGAAAACTTAATAGATCATTTATAAAGCTTTAATAATTGTAAGTTAACTGTCTTATTTTGCATTCATGAAAATAAGCCACAGAACAATTATGTGATTTCCTCTTATTTAGGAATAGTACAGAATAACCCTACTCCAAACTCGGCTGCTTCTGGAACACTTTGATGAAATAACTCATTATTCAACTACAGTGGGTAAATGCTCTTGAGCTTCACTGTTTGCCTAATTTCTAAACAGAATTTGGATGAAGAGCACTCTCTTGTGAGGAACAAGTCCCCCATGTATTCAAACATGAATTCTTGACAAAAACCCAATTTCTCTGGTTTTAAGATGATCATTTTTAAAATTTACTATCAATTCCATACCAAACATATGCAAAATTTCTATATGAACACATTGACAGTTTAAAAATAAAGTTTAAAATTGAACTCTCCCTTTTGATTGAGTAGAAATCTTTACTTCTCCATCTTTCATAACCATGCTTAAAGTATTTCCAGAAAGAAAAATAGTAAAGAATATACCCATTCTTCAAACTGTATGGTCCCATAAATCTGGAATTGACTGAACCAGTATATTCAGAAGACAAATCAGAAAGATGCAGTCAAATGCATTCATTGAAAATATTTTTTAAAGATTGAGAACCAGGTGTGTTATGCATTACCACATTTATGACAGCACATCTGTGATTGTTCACCATTATAACTTACCCCAGTTTTATCACACAAGCGTAAAGTATGAAACGATCCAACAGCAAATAATTCTCCATCTGGAGCCCAGGCAACTGAGGTAATAGGATGCTCATGAGGTTGTGAATTGTACAGAGGACGGCCATAACTATCCCATACCTAAAACAGCAAATTAAAAAATCTTTTATAACAGTCACCACATTATTACAGACAAGTTTGTCCTACAGTAAGGTATCAATTAAAGACTCATAAATCATTACTTTATAATAATAGTAATTAAATGTCTTTACTACCACACAAGGGGAAAAGCTATATTCTTTAAAACCTATATATCGCAAAAAATACTTTATGATAACATAATAATTTTCCAATTTCACCACATCTTTGATTAATCATATAAACTACACACCTTGAGTCCTTTTAAATTTAACAATAAATTTTTGAGATGTTGTTTTTTTGCTTAAATTTTTTTTCTCAGTAAGTGCTCTAACAACTTTCCCTACAAGTATTTATTTCAATTAAATTTCCTCTAATTCCAGTTACATTAAATCTTATTCTTTATTATAAATGATTTTGGTCTGAAGCTAAATAAACAATGTTTAATAAGCCAGTAAAAATTATTTTTAAAACTTCAACTGAGTTGATTCAAATATTCAGCAAAACTAGAAGTTGCATTTATGTTGCTACTCATTAAATCAAATTCTATGGGTCAATGAGAGAGGTCAATGAGAAAGTCAACACTTTAAAATATCACTTAAAATTATAAAATATCAATTTGTTGAATTATTATAGTTACAAGATGTAGCTAAAGTGAAGGACTAAAAGCATATTCTTATATGCTGAATACTTTTCACCTAAATTCAATTCTTTCATCCAGGTGATAGATTCAAATGTTACATACCTTATATTTACAATCCTCACCAGCAGATAAAATTAGATCATTGACAGAGTTCCAATCTACTTTTAAAATAATGCCATCATGAGCTTTCCACTATGAGAAAAAAGTAAGATATTAATTATAACTTCAAGAGCACTGAAAAGTTGTTTGCTTTTTTTTTAATAAAGGACATTTTGCCTAATGATTCTCTCATCCTGTCCTTGGAGATTTCTATCTTTCTTTCATAGCTGTTATGTATAATCTCATTTTCTTGTTTCATTTCTAATTTAAAGTAATGAAAACACTTAACACTATGACATCCACTATATAGCTTACATCCTTATAAATCTCTTCAGTTGCCTAGACTCCAGATGGAAAATCTCTTGCTGTTGAACTATTTCAAGTTTGACATGTATGTGGTAACAGTGTTATGAATCCAAATCTTGCTTTCTTTTATACAGTTTATCCAATCAAAGATAATGCCTTTATTCTTATTTACTAATTTTCTTTTTTTTAACTTTTATTACATGATCATCTTCTTTAGTACTCTGTTCATTCTCCTCTGCATATTTTCCTAAGCTTCATTCTCTTTACCTGAATGTCTCTAGAGTAGTCACTGAACTCTATAAGAAACTGCTACTGCATTTACCATATAACAAAAGGATGTTTTCCACAGATACGTACATATTCTATTATATATATATATAGAGAGAGAGAGAGAGAAAGAGAATGCCTACATATATATATATATATATATATATATATATATATATATGTGTGTGTGTGTGTGTATGTCACCCAGAAATTGGCAATCTAGAAAGTAAGCATGGATGCCTTCTTGCTTTTTAAATACAATCCATGTGTCCATTTAGCTATTACCACACGTAATTAAAAAGCTATCTTTTATCATGTTTAGACAGAATAATACAACTTAAAAAGAATTAATTTTCCTTGAAGACCATAAGGTACATTTTAATGTCTGAGCCAATTAACTTCACATCAAAGAGTAACCAATGTTAAGGGCTCTATTGACCCTTCCCAACCTATTGTTCTTAATGTACACAGAGTAAAATTAAATTAGGGTCAAATAAGCTCTAAGAAGAAGCAATAATTCATAGCTTGTTTACTGAAGATATATAAAAAATATGCACTCTCAAAAAACAAATGTATTGATAATATATTTTAAAAAGCAGTAATTCACACAATTTACGGCCAACTTAATACAATGTCCTCAGATAAACTACAAGGACAAAAACAACAAAACATAGACACTGATATGGGTATATACAGCTACACACACACACACACAGATTCTCAAGAGTCTCATTTCAAAGCTGTAAAAATAAATTTTTGCATATTCAAAAGTTAGGAACAAAATAGGATTTAAACTTTTCTTCTATGATTTAGGATTATCAGTTTATATATTACATATATTTATATACTATACATAAGGCATAGGCAGTTTTCAATTATATCTCCATGAATTGCACAATCTGTGAAATTCCTTTGAACAGAAGCAAGCTCCTTGAAGGCAGGAACTGTTCTGTTTCACTTTGCATTATGTCACACACAGCATGGTGCTTGGTATATAGTATGTATGCACTACATTTTCACTGAATGAATAAATTTTTAAAAAGTCTCTTCACTATAAAACCAACTTCTGGGTCTCTAGAAGAGTCCCTAGAGCTTTAAAGGAAAATCGGGTATTTACTTTTGAACTGTATTCTACAAGCAAGAATTAATTAGGCATTCCTTTTGTGGACAATACAAATTTTAATGTGTTTATGCCCAAGGAAAACTGCTGCAGCTTTAGTTTACCAAAAAGAAAAAAAAGAAAATTTGCATTAAGTTACTAATTATACTTCAACTCTTCTTCCACTCTAGCTGAATTTTGACAATGGATACTTTTCTTTCCCTCCACTACATGCTGGTCCATAAGTTCTACTAGACCACTAAATTATAATTTAACTTCCTGAGTTTCATTTATATAAGCCTAATTACAGGTATCTCAATAAATCACATTAACTACAAACTAAAGATTCATCTTGCCTGTTTTGCTGTACAATTTCAAAGTAGAGTTTTGGAGTCTGAGTGGTGTGGAAGGAGTTTGACTAAAGGCAGGCAGAACTAGTTCTCTTTTGCAGCTTCTTCTGTTTGCCCAAATTTTTTACCTTAGTTGCCTTAGAGCAAGGACCTGTATCCTCTATTTCTTGTTTGTTGCATAGTTCTTAGCAGAGTGTTCTGCATGCAGTAAAAATTTAAATGCATGTTGACTTTATAAAATATATATAACATAACCTACATAGAAGTTGTAGAAACTCAATACATTTGTAGAAACTCAATATGGAAACTCAATAACATTTCTATCCCCTTACTCCCCAAATCTATTACCTACTCAGCTATTAAATCTGATGCTGCTTCTTAAAGCACTTTTATACCCATTGTAGTTGGTCAGTCTCTAACACCAAATCCCTTATTCAAGACCCAGTCATTTCTACATCTTTTTTTTCTGACCTCCTTGGCTCTAATTTATTGGGGGCTGACAAAAAGGTAGAGATGACATAATAACTCATAATAATAACTATAGTAATGAGTACTCTATATTGAGTGCTTACTCTATGCACTCAATATGCTTATTGTATACACTGTCCTATGCACTTTGCAATTTAATTCATTTAATCTTCACAACAATCCTACTAAGTGGGTATTAGCATCACAACTAAGAGATGAGAAAGCTGAGAATCAAAGATATTTTATAACTTGCCTAAAGTTACATTTAGATAAATAAGTGAACATCCTAAAACCATGTGACAAACTCCAAAGCCTATATTTTTCTTACCAATACTACACTGTGTCATTATCAAAATAAAATATGATTCTGCATTTTAACACTGAAATCAAACATCAAAATACTGAATATAGGCTTAAGGTTTCCCATTAATTTGTCCTACTCTGACTTGTCTTAACTGCCACCATTGTTTTGCTTCTATATAACTGGTAAAATTATATATACCTAATTTGTTCTAAACATTACATTTATGACCTCTCCACTCTAAAAATACCAAAGAATGCAAGGGTCTTAGAGAAAGCTTAAGTGTATTGAACAGATGATGTTGAAGAGGAGGAGGAGGATGCTAGTTATAATGATAAAAAAAACACAGTCTAAACTTTTAAAGTTTTATGATTTCACCCTGTTTTGTCTTAAATCTATACATGTGAGGCTGATTGTGCTAAATTTAAAGATGCCTGCCATGCCAAATCATGAGACAATTTAGTAACTCTAAACACATTTATGATTTGCTAGAATAATGTAAATTGGATAAGGAGGAAGTGAACCTTGTTAGAAACATAACCAGATATCCCCTATTCTGTAATAAAGGCTAATAAAAACACACACTTAAAAGTCAGACATAAAAAGACCACCCAGAAGAAAGAGACTCCTAAGAAAGTGACCTCTTATTTAGCAGTCCAGCAGGTCCTGATAACAATTTGCAAATACCTGAGAAGTACCTGTAAAACTTTAGCATTTGGTTGAAGAGGTTTAATGATCAGCTGCTTGCCTGCTGTGTAAAGAACCTTTTCTGAATCAGGGCCCCACACTACTGAATATACTGGTGTTCCTGTGAAAAGGAAAAGAAAAAAAAAACTGATAAATTTTCATTATTATGCCTTATAATAAAGGAGCTAGTTAAGAGGATCAAAAAAGCGCATATTTTCAGACCACAACGCTATGAAACTCGAAATCACCCACAAGAAAAAATTTGAAAAGGTACCAAATACTTGGAGACTGAAGAACATCCTACTAAAGAATGAATGGGCTAACCAAGAAGTTAAAGACAAAATTGAAAAGCATATGGAAGCCAATGAAAATGATAACACCACAATCCAAAACCTCTGGGACACAGCAAAGGTGGTCATAAGAGGAAAGTATATAGCAATCCAGGCCTTCCTAAAGAGGGAAGAAAGATCTCAGATACACAACCTAACCTTACGCCTTAAGGAGCTGGAAAAAGAACAGCAAATAAAACCCAAAACCAGCAGAAGACAGGAAATAATAAAGATTAGAGCA